ACAGCTTACTTGCGAGATCAGCATGACTGTAACCCTTCTTTACGCCATCCGCATCCACACTGACTAACCGATCGATTCGGGCGACAGACTCACGTCCCTAATACTCAGTTTAGATGCACGGATTTGTAGTGCCTCTACGGCACACAATTCAGAATCCACATGCAAAGAGAAAACCATGACCGTTGAACATCACGCGTCTCACCACTGCCCCCAGAGCGAGTGTTGAACGCCCGCTTGTAACTGTTGTTTATGGAGTATGCCTTGATATTTCACCGGTAGCAATAAGCCGCTAGGATAGATTGTCAGTTGTAATCACGTGGCTTTCCTACTCCAGACAGAGGGCATATGAAAAAATCTTGAGAGCTGAGTCACACAAAGAGCTTGCATACTTTCGTTGCCGATATCATTCATGCATGCCTCTGGGGGTTAAACTAAGCTAGATGTCTTGGATATGAAAATCCTGCTGTGGGCGAAGTAGCTTAATAGACCCACTAGTTTGACTGTGATTCAGTATAATAAACTAGACATAGATGGTGTTTCAGGTAAGCACACCTTTGCTATCAGTAAGCCAGTCACAGTTTGTTTGCCAGTCATATGAGAGTTGCTCACACTCATATGGCTTCATCTAACAATATAGGACACACAAAATGGCGACGAAAAAGATGCGGCTCACGACACCCACGCAAAATGCGATGTGAGTTATTTAGACGGGCGAGCATTTATGAATAAGCACGGACACCGCAAGATTGCATGGATGGTGGTTCAGTGCCCGCATGAAATTTCACTATGTTTGCGCTGTGACCACACACGTTCCTGGCATTGCGTTACCACCGCAAACATGACAAATCGATCAGGCAATGCTGGAAAGAACAAACCCGTGTGTAAAGCCTGCATAATAGGCTTATCAGAGCTATGAAAAACAAGAGCATGGACGAGTTTAGCATTGATAGTGAACTTATATGAATGAGTGCCTATGCTGAACCAGTGGTATGCAATGCACACCAACTACGAACTATAAAATAGCAATGTAGCCCTAGTGTACGCTAGTTCCACCGGAGGGTCTAAAATGTCACGCATCGTAACTTTCTGAAATACTTGTCTGTTAGTCAGGCTGTTCAATGGGACTGGACACTGGCCACCAGAGCAGAAACCAATCTTCAGTTAAATGAACAAGATGCAGAAAGTTCAAGAAAAAATGACAGCATTAAGACAATTCCACTCCACTGAAAAATTTGGAAGATCCCCACATATAGGAACATGGAAAAAATTTCAGCTCATCACATGAATTAGTGCGACAGATCGACATGATTCGGCTACTAGGGGCTTCCGTTAATTGCTTTAAAACTTTCTGAAATACTTGTCTGTTAGTCAGGCTGTTCAATGGGACTGGACACTGGCCACCAGAGCAGAAACCAATCTTCAGTTAAATGAACAAGATGCAGAAAGTTCAAGAAAAAATGACAGCATTAAGACAATTCCACTCCACTGAAAAATTTGGAAGATCCCCACATATAGGAACATGGAAAAAATTTCAGCTCATCACATGAATTAGTGCGACAGATCGACATGATTCGGCTACTAGGGGCTTCCGTTAATTTGCTTTAAAGGGAACCTACTGTTATGACTTACGAGCAACTTTCTCTTTTGTCACTTACGTCCGGTATTTGTCAATAATTAATCGCGCAGTACATACGGAAGTCACAGTGGATCTGACATCCTCGTCTTGCGGACTTGTGAAGCATTTTGATAATGGGACAGAGGTGGTAAATACAATTCACCCAACCCTGGATTTCATGAAGGCGATCAGGAATACGATGCCTCAAAGGCTTTGGAAGTGTGGGTGAGACGCCTGGACCGCTAAGCGAATAGCGGTGACTGTTTTGTTCCCGTTTTGAGTCGCGGCAAACACAAAACTGTATTCGTTGGCATCCCTTGATATTTAATATCAATTTGACTCAACTACCCTACTTTCTTTGAATTGAATGCATTCAGTGTAGTTCGTGACCTTCAGCAGTTACTCTGCCACAGGAAACTACTTGCTTTGACCAAAAAATCTGATCAACTATAGACAGACCAGTGTGACCACTCATTGATGTTTTGATCTTTAAGGAAAACTTCAGCGACGAACAAATACTGCGACAATTGAATTCATCAAACACGCGAACGTACACATAAAACGTGCATACTAAACGAACCAAGAAACTTGTAACTCTCGACCAACCCATCGCTACGCACCACTACACGCCTTAACAACGGACTAATGATGTCACCTCGGTCTATGAAACGTTTGCACTCTAATTGCCCAGCTCAGGGAACAAACCAACGACCATAATATGTATTTCTTGAAATATCTTTCATCAACTTAACTTCCTGATTCACTTCACCCATAAAAACGACCACGATGAACCCAAAATTTTCGTGTAACTAGACCGACAGAAAGCAATCGATTGGATTTCAGACGCTTCCGTCCAGCAGAAGCTTTCAAAACTTGGTATCGTCAACGCCAACCTCTCATACTTCCATTCGTACACACAGAGCCGTAATCAGGTGCTAAAGTGGAGAATATCGAAATATCAGTATGAAGACCCAGATTACCAATTGCTGGTATTATTTGAACAAATACTGCGACAAGTGAATTCATCAAACACGCGAACGTACACATAAAACGTGCATACTAAACGAACCAAGAAACTTGTAACTCTCGACCAACCCATCGCTACGCACCACTACACGCCTTAACAACGGACTAATGATGTCACCTCGGTCTATGAAACGTTTGCACTCTAATTGCCCAGCTCAGGGAACAAACCAACGACCATAATATGAATTTCTTGAAATATCGTTCATCAACTTAACTTCCTGATTCAATTCACCCATAAAAACGACCACGATGAACCCAAAATTTTCGTGTAACTAGACCGACAGAAAGCAATCGATTGGATTTCAGACGCTTCCGTCCAGCAGAAGCTTTCAAAACTTGGTATCGTCAACGCCAACCTCTCATACTTCCATTCGTACACACAGAGCCGTAATCAGGTGCTAAAGTGGAGAATATCGAAACATCAGTATGAAGACTCAGATTACCAATTGCTGGTATTATTTAAAAAAACTAATCTTGGCCCAAAGCGATTGTCCAACTATCCATACTAGTGCAGCCTATCCGTTAGGGGTGTTAGAAATGTTCACCTTAAATAATAAATAAAAAGATAAGCTTTCAGCTGTAACACTCGGTGTATAGTTGCCATGTCACGAGGGCTGGGATACTGCCAGGATGCCTAAGCCTAGACAGTCAAGAGGCGGAAGTCGGTTCCAAACCACGGACCTTTCGCTCAATAAATTGGCGATCTCAACACAGCCATCTCGCCCACATGTTTATCTTAACAAACTGCATCATACCATACCCACGATTTCCCCCAAATTTAAAAGCTCTGGTCATTATCATCATCGATAGCATGACATCAGTGTTCAACGCTGATGCTTCACTGCCGTACGGTTGTACAAAGGCTAGGATACTGCCAGGGCGCCCACACCTAGACAGGAGGACGATTAGGGTCCTCAACCAAAGCCTTTGGCTCAAAAGCCTAACTGCAAGGCGGCGGTGTTTGGCGGGAAACGCAAATGCATTACCATTTCTACTGAACTGTCACCACATGTTCCAACTGGGACACGTGACTAACCATCAACGAACTCCATTTTGTCCCGTTCCATTGCTCAGTGGTTAAGATGCGAACTTACTGATCGGCGTTTCGACTATCCGTGTCTACGCTCAGACAGCTTGTTAATACTCCGGTCATCGTGCTGCCTCTAGGTGGCATGGCAGCTACACCCCGGATGGATACTACGAGTGAACTACCGTTATAGACTCAATCCAGGATCTCTCAACCTAAACACAATCTGTTTTCATACTGAACAAGACCCATGACCCACGTATGCGCCATTCCATAGCTCTCAATTCCTGAGACCAATTACCTACTGTTGGACACATCATTTAGTCCCCTCCAACCCCAGCTAATCATTAACACAGCAGGAGCTCGGTGACAAGTATACAATCAATTGTCCAATAAACACCTTCAAAATTGATCAGGTTAGGGGGAAAATATCGCTGGGATTGGACTTGGTACACATTCACCACATACAGGCCACCAACGATCAATTCCGAGCGACATCAAGCGAGACCCTAGTACGCGTAAGAAATGATTCAAAACATACCTTTTGTATATCATGAACTGGTAATTCACGCTACCTTTATTGGACGATTAAAGCGTACATTACGCCCTTCTTTCTTCTTTACATACCTTTTGTATATCATGAACTGGTAATTCACGCTACCTTTATTGGACGATTAAAGCGTACATTACGCCCTTCTATTCTTTCTTCTTTGAAACCTGAAACTACTGGACTCTTGCAACAATTACCAATACTCCCACTTTGGAATTTTGATTTGACGCCAACACCGATATCAGTTCAAGCGACCCGGTTTCGGTTTAAACCTATGGCAATACGTTATCACTTTGATCTTCGATTTATTTTCCGGTTTAACTGCGTACGGAATTCGACACCTAGGTTGTGTAACAACACTGCACGATATCTGTACCCTAACTTTCATCGTATACCCTCTAATCTTGTGTGTATTCCAACCTCTTTGACTGCGAATAGCGACCACGTACTTTGGCATGTGTCTCGTTATGAGATAAAGGCCAGTGATGAATTACACCAGTAGTGCTGTGATTAAAACTGAGTTCTTCACAGCCTGGAATTTTATAACCAGATCAAACCACGCCCAGGTTTTCAGAGCCCATCGGCTGAGATGTACAGAATCGGTTCGGACCACGGAGTTTCTAGCTAGTGATTTTGCGCTTGAGTCATCTGGAGGTCGAACTAACAATTGAATGGGGGGAGAAATACAATTTGGATACTGATAACGTGAAGCAGATGTAACAGCTGAGGTAAACAGAGCCCCATGTAAAACTCTTCAAGAAAAACTTGTTCGAATAATCCCATGAAGATGCACTGGTATATTGTGACTCTTGAATGTACAAGGTTCAATCAACGAAGGAAATCAAGTAGGGTAGATTGTATGAGCCATCACATTGAAACTTTCAAATGTATCACAGAGTATAGGAAAAATAAAAACAGTAACTCAGCGCAAAAGTACGCCGGGAAAAAAAGTAGGGCCCCCTAGTCCGAAATCAAAGTAAAGGAGATCGTCAGTACGAGAGGCAATAAATGGCATATTCGATCAGAGACCGAGGGGATTATTCAAAAAGTCAAAGCATGTTTCACATACGCGAACCGGTTTGTTTATGCCGAACTTGATAATCGGAACCTCGAAGTTGGAACATTGCGCACAAAGAAGGCGACCACAGTGGCGACTGAAAAATGGGTGAAAATATGGAGAAATTCAACGCCCAAAAACGACTATTGATTGGGTATAAAAAATCTGCGAGTCAGGCAGATTATGCGCTGTATGTGCCAGTCATTTAGATTGATTAGAGGTGGAAAAGGAGAAAAACGTTCGCGGTTTTTCACGACGTAAAGTTCGATCACCATAGCGAACTCCGTCAGGAGCAAAGTAGATGAAATCATGAGGCAAAAGAGAAACAAGAGTGGACAGATATCAATGGGTTTGCGATCAGCAGACACCAAAGTGATCAAACTAACCGTGTATACAAAACCTATTCCCGAGATTGAAACGTTAATTATTTAGGAGAGACAAAGTAGATGAAATCATGAAGCAAAAGAGAGTGGACAGGTGGACAGATATCAATGGGTTTGAGATCAGCAGACACTAAAGTGATCAAACTATCCGTGTATAGAAAACCTGTTCTCGAGATGGTAACGTTAATTGTTTGGGAGAGATAAGACAACTGAGATTGCGCACTGCGAAACCTGAAAAACACGCACGTTTTTGGCGTCAAGATTCCTCGCAGTTCCAGAAGATTGAGAGAGGCTCGGCCATTGCTCAGATGAAAAGCCACAAAGGGTAGGCGGAACGATGCTGTGCAGAAGCCTTGGCCATTCATATACAACCAGCGTATGTCAATCCAAACAACGGTAAGGGCTCAAAAATACTCAAAGAGCGTGATTAGCGGACCTCAGCTTCAACCCACGCAGATGTGACTGCCACATTTTGACCGACTGAGCAGTCTCGCGAAGCTGATAGCACACCGATAGATATCAATAAACTTTTGTTTCTTCCGTTTTTTGTGATTCCGACTGCTCTGCTTCTCAAGGTCTTCTACGGTGACCGAAACGTTGAGTTATGAAAAATGCAATTATCGGTATTTTCCCATCACTAATCAACCGAAACAAAAACGACTCAATGGAAAGCAAAATATGGACCGTCTAAGGCATTACACAACAGCTTTAAAACGATGCACTTGTGATTACTCAAAGCGCCCTTTACGCATATAGCAAAGCAATCCGGTTGGGAATGAACCGTGCATATTTCACATTAACCTCTGAGCTATTCCGTGCGGAGGAGCGCAATTGGACTTCAAATCAAACGTCCTATGGACGCGCCGTTCTCGATCATATGGTGTTGTAACTAAATGCAAACGCTTCAGTCACGAGTACGAACCTAAACGTAGATGTTCAGTGGAACCTGCTTTTGACTACCGAGGTGAAAAAAGACAGATCAAGTGGTTACACCGACGGAGAGAACCATCATCCAAATGTGGTTCACTCGAACAACGATATGGGAAATATCAGGTGCAACATAAGCATCATCCATGTGCCAAGACTAATGAAAAGAACAATTATTTTGGAAACGGTCTTATGGATGCCTTATTACCAGTTGAGCCGTGAAAAAAGAAACCCCTTTACAGAAGGGAGTATGCTAATTGGTACATAACCGTCGCAAAGTTTGTGATCTGGCAGAACCGTATTGAAACACAATTTTAGCGACCTCGGGTATATAAGTCTTCTGAGGGTGCAATGTAAGTCAAAGTTGGGATGTTGTATCTTTGGCACTGACCTCAAGATGTGAACTACAAGTCGCTTGATTCAAGTTCACTATGAGGAGAAACTTGGACATCGACAACTTCGCCGTTCTTAAGCTTCTTGTGACGTGTAACTATTAAGCGCCAGAGCTGAATAGGCTGTCAGGCCTTACCTACACAGAAGGTGCACCCCCAGGTCCATTCTGAAGACTTCCAGACAGGACCTCGAAAACTAGAGTAGCACATTCGAAGAGGCATGGCGAGAACACAGACTGTACATTTGTTGGTAAATCGCGCCAAATCCCCTCCTCGAGGGCAGAAGTTACCCTCCTGTAGTGTCCACAAGTGTCGCACGTCAAACAGCCCCCATAAAAATCCCATTCCAGTAGGTCACACAGCTCTAGTCTCGGTGGCGCTACCTTTTCGGGGGGAATTGTGCTACATGCGTACTAGTTTGCAATGAACTCGAAGACAGTCTCAATGGTGTGGCACGGGAGGATAAAACGTCAGATGCAGCAAATGAGGCTAGTTGAAATAAACATATTCACATGACTATGTCTCAGATACCGAGGAGCATAGACAAGTGGAAGCAGAAAATTTCCATGATCACGAATTCTATGGAGTATATTCCAAAATATAATCATCTAAAACTCTTATGCAGTTATGAACAACAGCAGCGCTCACCAGCGCCCAGAAGTGTGTGTCTATGTTACACGTAAATGTCAGCTCAACTGTGTCTGAATAGAATTCCTAAATGCACTAATGTATGGAACAAAGACACAATAACTGAAAATGCTTAACATGCGATGACCAGATTGGGTGCGACCGGGAGAGTGAGGTGAAAGACGAGCGACTTCGTCTCCCACTAGCCCGTTGCGCGAACTAGTAAGCATCCGGAAAGGTGGACAGCAGAAGGAATCCCTTTCCCAGCAAAGAGAAAAGAAAAATAATGTCGTTCTGATTTTCTCTACCATAAGGCGTCGTTGGTTGTGTCGATGACCAATGTGAACGATTGTGTCCTACGAAGGTGGTGCAGGCATCATGTCAAAAAGGGACCATAACTGAGCACAGCCTAATATTCCTACTGAATTTCAAGAACATCTGATTCCTCAATAGTAAGTGCAGATTCAGTCAGGCAGTCTTGAACGAGAAGAATGTAGTGGACTGCCTTACTGAAACAGTGAGGCCACATAGCGATTATATTGGATGGAAGGAGCAGCTCGCAGAAGCTGCAGGAGAACACTGTGATACCCACTGGATGCTCATTCCGTTCTTCGCATCACAATTGATTGAGTGCTCGTGCCCCACTTCTGAGGAAAGCACAATCTTACGTATCTTTGGCCACAAACTGTAACTGTAAACAGTGATTCATGCGAGAGAAATAGTCAAACCTATATCGTTTTCCGTATTAGACGACCAGTTGACATTGATCAGCGAAAACACATCCTATCCGCTGTTTGGGTGGTTGGTGTCTAGAAGTCTCTCACGCGTACGTAAGTGAAGCAACTGCACGCGTTTCGCTAACTGGCTCATGCTGCTTTATTCATTTATGGTCTATTGGTTTGACATTTTCCTGCGAACAATTTCCATTTTGTCGAGAAATACACTAATTTACAAACCAATTTGGTTTTCACGGGAGACTCAATTGAATCTCTCGTTTATGATGTCCTCCAACTGAATGTGCTACACACAGGCCGCCTCATGATTCAGTTGGCACCATATTCGAGATATCGCAGTATATTTTCATAAAGGAAACTACTCACAAGGTTGCTGTCGAAGAGTTTTCAGCAGCCTTGTGAGTAGTTTCCTTTATGAAAAAAACTTCCATCTTACATAAACGTAACTTTCTGAATTTCCACCTAAGGGGAAAAAGGATCGGTCATCCAACAACGTGGTTATTAGCAAACGGCCGATCTCAGTCAGTGGTCATACAGTCGGGCGTCTAATAACCGGCATAATAAGTTGCGACTTCCTTCTCGGATTGACTGGAACACTTTTCCAAATCACTAGGACGCATCATCTCTACACTACAACTCAGAGGTAGCTACAAGCACACAAAACAGGTAGCTATACCAGTTTATATTATGTTTAACCACGTAGCCTGTCCTTAAGCACCAGTATCGGCTGTCAAAAGTAATCAGTAAAGCGACACTTGGGGTCGGAACATCTAATCCCAGAATGGCCAAACAGGCATCCTCAGACATGCTAAACATTGATTTTTCGTTTGGCAAGTTGGCAGTGCTGAGACCCACGTTGTCAAGAGTTCTTCCCCACCGGTTGGCTGGACGCTCTTTCAATCGTTGAAATCGTAAACCTATTCGAACCAATTAGTCTAGTTGGTATGTTTCGCTGTAACGGGACCAGTCCAGTGTCAAAAAACAGCAACTGTCGAAACAACCTTACAAAAAGATGACTGCATCTGCGTTGAATCATTTATTCTATTCCGATAGTGTAAAACGTGATGAGCATTTGGTTGCTTCAGCTTCGAACCTTTATGTAACCTATCCTAATTTTACCTGAAAAGTTAGCCGCCATTTCATCTTCATCGCCATGGTAATCACTCTTCGACCCTGATGTAGTGCGCGTCGTTCAGGAAAGCCACATGGGCTTTGCCATCTCGTGAGCTCTGTCCTGATTCGGTGTGACAACCGGGTAGGCGTAATGTGTATCACGTAGGATCTCGTTTGAAATCGGCTTTAATCAACCTGGTTTACAGAATCTGACAAAACCCGCGCTCTTTACCATTTTATTACTGTATTCACGGTAGTGCATCTGCCAATAACCATCTAGTAGGAATGAGGTTTTCGGAGAAACTTATCGTGGCCCAGCTGATTCCAGGATGCGCTATCCGATGGAAGAGACAGAATGAAACAGCTTGTCCCGGAATTCCATCCAAAACAATTGTCGTGGCTTTCAAAAGCGTATGAAAAGAATAAAACAGTAAAAACAAATCTTGGAATGAAATATCTTACCAATGGTGCTTCCGGTAGGTCAATCCAAATTTCGCTTGGCATTCAACACAACTCGGTCCATCTTCCCAAAGAGGTTCTTGCATCAGAGAGTCTAGTGAATAGAAGGAAACTGCCATATGTTGGCGACTGCAGGAAACAAATGTCCTAGGTTAAAGGGACAGAACCACAGCAAGTCGGTTTCCCAAAGGCTCGTGCACGAGATGACTGGACTGTGGTGTGGTGTGAGCACGGCCTTGGGATAAACAAAAGCCGTCTGAAACCTGATATCTACATATTGGGTGTGCATGGGCAAACCAGACGACCTAGAAGTGACCCAAAAGCCGGACGCGTTGTTAAAATGAGTCACTGAGGTGTTTCCGTCCGGCAAATGATTGACGTGCACATTAGGAGATATGAATATGTGCAGTGTTGAGGCCTATAATCTCCCGCAGCGAAGGATCACGGCGAAGCATCAATGATGCGCTGTCGATGATTGATTTGAGCCTTTGATAAAATTGATAAGCTGTTGCAAACCAGCTGCCTTTCATGGAACAAGTAAGGAACAAGTAAGTATGGAACAAGTAAGGTTCATGTTTCCCAACCGTCTTCTTTTCCGGCGTCAGACATATATGGGAACTATGGAATCTTAAAAAACCGAGCACCAGAGGCCGATTCAAATGACTCAGTGATCGTATCCACCCTGAGCAAAATTTCCACGCAGCCCCATGAAAAAAAACAGATCCCGATGTCAGGAATAAACCTCTGCGCCTATGAAGTGAGTGAAAAATAATTATCAATCCAATATGAATGGCTGAAAGCCGATGCGAATTAGCCGGAGGCAAAGCACTGGATGCCGAGGAACAGCCGAAAAGTCATAGATGAATTGCAGGGAGCCAAATGTGCACGCGTCTATTTAACCGGAGGGAATAAGATCCGCCGCCTAGCGTACAGATACCGTCATACACACAAGCAATCATTTGGTCTACACATGATGGTATAACAATGGACACCAGCAACAATTGTTCCTAATCCGCATCATTCGCCAATTTCTATTAGAAGAACATATTCCTGTTTTACTAAGACACAGAATTCAAACTCAGCTGAGACAGTTGCGTAGGTCCACGCCTAGGCTTTCAAACCCAGTGTGGGAGGTTTTAGTGGAGCTGATAAATCTCTCCAGACAGCCAGCCTATCGGTGGATAACTCCCTGTGCTACCCACCACAAAAGACAGTATAAGTAAATAAAGATAGATAAGGACAGAGAGTATCGAACATAAATTAACTTGGAATAGGCCGGTCCTACGTAACATACCTAGGATTTGCATCAGTATCCGATCTGGAGATGCCGATCGCTTCCGCAGGCGACTGAGACTGAACATCGAGTGACCATCAGCATTGGTTAACCCAAGGGATGCACCGGCATGAACTAACGCAATACACAATGGCACATTCCCGGAACGATAGGCCAAAAGTAGAGCTAAAGCAATACAAAATGGTTGGCGGGAGATTCAAATGAATCGTACCAGATAGAGTAAGTAATGGGAATACGTGAATGAGTAAGCTTGAGATGGTAATATCAAAAACACAGACAACTTCACTCACGAGTATTCCCAGCCGCATCCTTGGAGTTGATTTGCGGGGTTACACAAACTTCGAAAAGATGTTGAAGAATTTCAACAGCTGTGGCAGAATTTTGTTCCGCAAGGAGGTGGATCGGGAGTTGACCTCTGGGATAGATTGTAGTAGGGACAGGTTACCGAGAGGAAACCTCGAAAACCGAAAGAAATTCTTAGACATAACACACCATGCATCGCTGCCAAAAACACCTCGTATTCCGTGAGTTTCCTTCAACTTTTATTTTTATTTGAACATCAAATTGTACACACTGATTAGCAAATTAAGTTGGTGTTACACGAAGGCTCAACAAAATCCCGGCTGAACCTCGAGTTCATAATATTCGTCAACAGGACTTGGGGCATAAGGATCACCTGAGATTTCAGTTGGTACGGTATCAGAGATATGAAAGTATTGTTTTATGGCACAACACTACTTATAGGGTTGCTGTAAATTCAAGATTGCCAAACTCGCTGACCTTTGCAAACCGGACCTCAGTAGACCATCCGAATTCCGGTAGAAACGTTGATTAGGTGTAAGATCCCGTGTAACTGAGTAGCAAAGAGCGCTGGAATAACCTTTACAAAACGCTGCGTTTAAATGAGTACTTCCGAATACCTTCTACTGACCATTAGCCGAACTACGTATGCATAAACTGAGGCTACAACGTAACCCAAAAAACGGTCCGCTTTGCGGATGCGACAACCACTGTAAAACCTTTTTGCTACTGTTTTGAGTTCAGAGATCCCACCCACCTCTACGTAAACCTTGTAGCTGCGGGATTCACCCTATGTTATGACACTCGTAACCCAAAAAACGGTCCGCTTTGCGGATGCGACAACCACTGTAAAACCTTTTTGCTACTGTTTTGAGTTCAGAGATCCCACCCACCTCTACGTAAACCTTGTAGCTGCGGGATTCACCCTATGTTACGTTATGACACTACTTGGTTCACTTTTTTTAGTGGAGTTGCTAGGGCTTTCAGGAGGGGGCATTGTGGGATCAGGACAGCAACTGCAGTGTTCCCACGTGTGGACTACGATGAAGTGACTGTAGCGGGAACTTACAAAATACGTCAAGTGGGTAGAACGAAACGCACATCATAATCGCCTAGACGGATCAAACCTAGTCGATGGGCTGCAAACGACACGTGCTGTTCCCACTGCAACCGTGTTAGGCTAGCCCGATTGCAACAATTCAGTGTAGGACATGCATGCATCGACGCCAACGCAGATAGCCAATAATCGTCCTGAAACAAGTTAAACACTGAGTGGCGGCTTCTATCGATACAAGGTCGAGTGAGGTCGAGTGAACCGGAAATATCTTCCAGGTGAACGGCTGGAAAACGTTTGAAAGATTTCAAGTCACTCGACCTCAGGGCCATTTCCCTACTGCCGGCCAGGAAATGCAAGCATAAAGGCAATCTCTTTTGCGGCTTCAAGAACGAAACAGCATATTTACGCGGCGATCGATTTCGTGGACTGAGATGCTCAAAAAGCCATTTAGATGTGCGGCGAAACTGGGCAATTTAATTGTATGTGAGCATGCACGAAAAGCTCAAGGTTATCGTGCATGACACTATACTGCTACAGGAAACTTCAGCAGCAATAATTCGAGACATTGCATGTCGGTAACAAACGGAAAACGTAAAGAAGCGTAAAAGCTTCTCATCTTTCTTCGACGAGTTTTCGGCGGCGAACTGATACATCTCAGACAATTTTTTAAGTATTCAGGAAAACAAACTACGAGGCCTTTCACAAGACTTCAAATTTCCGTTTATCGTGCTCGCCAGTGTCATCTGGTCCTACGATGTTCGATATTTCCAGTGCGTGTCAATTTGGAAAATTAGGCGCTGGGTCTCAATTAAGTCGATAAAAGCTGAGGGTGTGGAATTTCAAAAAAAGGCAAACACAAGGTGGATAAATTAAAAATATCACTGATCATCGGAGAGATAAACGAAAAAAGTGATCTCAAACATATGTATACTACGTACAGTTTAAGTTGTAAATTGCCTTGAACTGCAGACATAGTGCAACAAGTCTCGTGCACTTAAACTAAAGGAGTAATGTTGCGATCGAAAAGTGGCCGATAACTTACCGGATATTCATTATGCAACAATCGGTCTGAGGCTGTGCCAAAAGTATCGTCAAACATGGAATATTGGCGTTCCTGACAGCCAAATGAAGGGCTATAAAGCGGAAAAGATGATTGGATAAACTGATCAAAAAGGTATATCAGATGGCTACCAAAAACAAAAAGCGTATTCGGTGGAAGAATCCAGGGAAAATTATTTGAAACCTGCACACCGAAACGCGTACAGAATTCGTTGCTTATGATGGATCATCTCAGGTGCCGGAATCCACATCCATTAAAAATATACAAGACTCTACACTTCAAACTAATGGTGACGTGTATCGTACACAGGAATAAACTTCCTATGGATTCGCTCAAAGTCCTCTTCATATTTACTACCGAAACAAGAATAAAAAAGTACCTAAAAATCGATTGATGTTTGTTTACTCCACCTAAACTAATAAGTCGCTTTGCATGTTTCCCCCAGTCATGGAAAGAACCATTCTGAGCATCCGAGCGGTGTATAGTCACAGAACGCCAGCAACCATCATGGTCATGACAATTAAAAAGGTGAATTCAGCTGTATTCACACGAATTAGAGAACCCCTGAAACCCAGTTGGAAATCATCGCTGCAAAACGGATTCGGTACCAATAGGTCTACCGAAGAGTGAGATTGTATTCCAATACTTAACATCACACGTTCTACGACGATTTTTGGTCCGAAACTATTAGCACGGCACCTACCGTTATGGACCGATGGGGCGGTATAACGAATTCCACTCAGAAGCAAGCTATATCTAAAACCAAGTAATAAAATTCGTGTACTGGGAAGATAGGATACACATCCAACTAGGAAATACAGGAGGAAACAGAATCGAAGTGAATCAGAGTAGGCGGTAAGCTGGTTACAACCAAGGGACGGCTCTAGGGTTTGCCTATCCTATTTTCTTCTCGATCTAACCTAATACTACTGTTTTGAAATCGTAGCCATCAAAGGAACCCACCATGACCCTAGCCACTTCCTTCCATTTCAATGCGCAATCAATGCAGCCGAGAAATCACACCGTTCGTACTATCGTCTTTTGGTAAGTAAGCAAACACCGTTCCTAAAATATTATGAGCTTACATGTCTAGATGGACGCAAACGACCGGAATTAGGTGGCTTTGGGAGTTAGGAACTCCCATTTTAGCCAGTGAAAGTGGTCCATAGGTTACGTGGTCATTCTCAGCGACAAGTAATATATGGTTACGTGGGAGTGCCACACTGTTACCCCATAACTTGTAACACAGCCAGGTACTCCTGTTCCCTTCACCGATTAACAGCTGCAAACGTTCGTCTGACCGTCCACAAATCCACCAGGTTTTTCTACTAGGAAGCATAAGAACCGAGTTTCTGCACAGCGAGCATGATGTAACATTGATTCTCCAGCAGACTCGACCGGTATGTGAAGCCCAAGGATGATGGTTCACGTTTCGAACACCGAGGAACGAGGGGTAGCACGGTCTAGACGACCTAGCACGAGGTTGAGATAGCAGCATATTAGTTAAGGCCTGAAGGCGCTGGTGGGTGATTGTGCTGCTACAGGAGATACCGGTATAACGGGAATACTATTTAATCCAGTGCATTTGCTTGCAGTCAATCGCACCGAAAATACAGGATAAATAGAATGTCAGTAAGAATGATAATAGAACTTCAAATAATAGTGAACAGATTCTCCGTGACTTTGAAATGAAGTGACTTGGAATTCATGGCCCGATATTTCTGAGTGCATAAAAACAACCTGTAGTCATGAACTGATAATACCCCGATGAACGCTGGTTACAACACAAATTCACAGTAGTAATTGGTAAAAACAGGACAGCCAAATCCAGCTCATCGAACAATGAAACCGAAACACATTCGTTTGCAATTGCCGTAGAAATTACGTAGCAAGAAAAGGTTTTTCTAAGATGGGAGTATCACTCACGCTACTCGAGAATAAACAGTAGCAGGAAAAATAAAAATTTCAAATGACTTTGATAAAAATGAAGGAATACTGAGTCGATAGATCAGTTGGACATGACTGTAGTATACATGTGCTGTGGATGAGATCAGCGTACCCATCATTTTAATTGGAAAAATTGACACGAATAAAACTTATACCAAGTTTAGCCCGTAAGAAATTAGTGAAATTCATGTCCGTCAGATCCCAACCAACCGAACGGAGAAAATGGGGCTTTAAATCTCTTTTCTCAAAGTACAGGGCAGAAAAGCCTGAAATGGACGATCGAATCTGAGTCCTCTAGAGATTGAAGAATCCAACTGTAAAAAGGGTAATTTTTCGATAAGAGGCTTTGAAACAGGTACTCCCAGAGAGCCAGAAAAAATACCGAAAAGTAAGTACAATAGTAATAAAATAAGATGTCAGAAAACAGTAGGTCGAACTCGTTGAAAATGAAAACATGTAAACATTCGCTAGAATCATCATGACTTAGCAAAAACACTCACGTGTGTTCATTTCTGAATCCTGTTCGTTGACCTCGGCACCGTTTTCAATCAGGCAATTGAGCAACTCGGGGCGATTGTGTAGTATGCATAAGTGTAATGGAGTATGCTTCTGTGGAGTTCGTGAACTGATCGATGCCCCAGCTAGTAGCTAAAGAACACGCAAGAAAGAGGACATAGACTATGCGTAAATGAAGATCGAAAATCCCACATGCATCTTAATAATATCAAGCAAAACTATAGAAAAAAGGACCATTGAATAACAGCTTTTATAAATAGGACGAAGTGTAGCTAGATTGACAGGCTCAATAGGACAATCAATGCGGAGTGGATCATTGATGACACCAAATCCACAACTGTTTCCACGAGTCCAAGGAGGACAACTTCGCCTGCACCATAGGACACGTTAGCGAATAACTTCTAACAACATGAAGCAATATGCTATTTCAGCACAACATTAAAAAGCGTCGGTCAGATCACTCTCAAAAGAAACGGGAGTAATAAAGCCTCATGACAGCTAAGCAAAGCACTGATAACAATTTTGGGATTCCTGGTGCGGATGTTTGGCTGTTGGTGAAATCGATAAACAGAGTGTACCGAATGCTGATTAGCAGGTGACGCTAACGCAATCATACGATAGTCAGCACAAGTCAAGTCCAATGAACAAAAGTAACCAAGTCTAGCGGGAGAACCAGAGTGATAGCCGCAGTCACATGACCTACACATCTACAGGTGCTTCATCAGAGTACAGGGTAGTGTATGGAGGAATCTTTCAGAAACCGGACGCAACATCCACATTGACAGCCGGTTACATTCTAGGACGACGATCTAGCTATTGGGTTGCTCGGCAAAACACTCACCACTCAAAACAGCTCATAATGCCATTGAACTATGAGAAGTGACCACAAATGATAAAAGGTGAGCAAAAATTACGTTATACCTTCGCGACCCAACTGATGAGAAACTACCGCAACGGTCAATTACAATTAAAAAAAAACACTGTCTAAGACATAACAAAGTACTGAAATGCAGACAATCTATAAATCTGACAAAACAGACTCACGTACTAGACTGCGAAAGACGTCCTCTGGCACCCCAGCTATTATAGCTAAGTGCAAAGGTGTGTATTGCGTGGAATCGTTTACGCACTGATTCAGATTCATCCCAGTTTGAATAAGGAAAAACACAGCAGCGCGATCCACATTTTGTAGAGCGATGTGAAGGAAATTTCTCCCCAGGTTATCGGTCTGCAAAGAATGAAATAGGAGAATGCCCACTAGGACTAACGGAAAGCAAAACACCAAAACATCATACGGAAACGTACGGTAGATGCGTTCAACCCTCTGATAACTGTGTGATCCAGAGACCGCAGAAAACCGAAGTTTTGTTATCATTAAATATCAGTGTTCTTTGCGGACACAGTCCAACAGAACTAGGTGGTACTCCTAGTATGACACAGAAGCCTAGTACAAGGAGTAGCACACGATATGGTACAAACGACATCCGAGCGCTCAGGGATTACTCTACGTTGAAAGTAGATGGAGTGAAACGAGTTGACAAACAATATGGAGAATAAAAAGAACGATGTACGAGTCGCATACAGTCTACCAAAATTGATTGCACAATGGTTACCACCCAGAACGTAGAAATTGGTTACCATATTCACTCATATTCCGTCTATTGATAAGTATGTTTACGCGTATAAATGGTACTCGACAGCCATTGCTTTCCCTAGGGGAAGTACCATTGACCACGCTCACAGAAGCCTTAGGTGAATTCTCAACGAAAGCCTCTGATTTGGGTTGCGGATTACCCGTTTGTTTACAATGCTATCGGAAGTTTATTTTGCACATGACATGTACTTTATTGTGTTGTCTGAATTCTATCCCAGTGTACTTTAATTTAAACGTTGGTGGCACATGCGACTAGCACAAGCCGCGTATAGAATTGTCTAGGGGGCGCGAGGTCCATAGGAATAGTTCGATGGTCGACACGGAGGCCAGGTAGCGCAACCTGTGTGATTAGTTCATCTATTGTGGGTAATTGGTTTCCCCCAAAGACATTTCGACTAACATTAGAATTATTGGTTTGATAACCAATGCTCCAATCAGCCTCGAGAAATACTCCGAAGACACCGATGGTCAAACATCCTTTGCGGGGAGTGTCCAGGTTTCTGGCCCATACAATAATATGCAGCGTACTGCATAAGTTGGCAAATAAATCAGTACAACATCTATGCAGGTTGACAAAAGCCGCTATTGCCTTCAAAATGCGAATGGGAACATCGTCCTCAGTTGGAACACCGATACTTATACAGCTTTCCCAAGTCAGGTAGATTTGTTTTCTACTCACTTTGGTTCATCCGTAGTGATGACGTTCTGGTTTAATCCTAACCAGCCCTGCAGTAGCACTCAGAATTCATCAGATATTAAGTGCACTGCACACCGTTAGGAAGAATTATTTAGGAATTTCGACTTACTATCACGTGCATTACCATGACGTCATATATGGGGAGACGTATGTCGTCCGTAAACTCTGTGAGCGAAAACTCTGGGAGAATTCGAACCCACAGGCACTAGAGATAGGGAGTAAGCCTTCCATGACCATATCCATGAAAAAAGGAAACATAACAGTCTTATCTGGCGACACGTAGATGAGATCGTACAAAGGACCGAAAGGTACTCGAGTCGGCGTATGGCGTTTTAAGAGGGGCCAATAATTCATAAGGGATACGTTGGCTCCACAGACACTAGCCTAGCCCGACGACCGATACAGTCACAGACAGCCTTCAACTGGTGAAATGGCACTAGTGTTGGTTGCCGCTGTTGTTGTCACTGTTCCAGAATCTGGCGAAGAATCCGCTTCGTCTTCACGCATCTGGTTCTCCCTGCATTCAACCAACCTTCGAAGATTTAGAATACCTTCGAAAGCACAGCCACGGCGCCCATGTCTTGTGAGTATTCAAATCGTTCACCCAACGTTCTTGAACACAAGGACGATTGTTGAAGTGCTACATAGCAATGGCGCTCCGACAAGCGAAGTGCGTGCTCCCGCCAGGGTCACCAAGGAAATATGGCTGGCTTGATTGCTTAAAAAGCCTTTTGGAATGCCCCAATAACTGATTCAAAGGACACAAACTGTCGCGCACTACAGAACTGGATTGAATAAGGTAAGCTGATTCATATCAGTAACTTAATGGGAACGATGCAAATCCTATATGTAGCACCATATAACGTTTCGATACAATACAGGTTCAAATAAACCAAATGTGAATGGACACGATGTAAAACATACACCGCCTTCTTAGGTACGCGTCTAGTGAAACTGGTAACCGGGATCAAGTTAGCACGAATAACTCGACTACAGGAGAGACACTGTATAATTCAAATACGGTTGCCTAGGTCACATGAACAGGTACGAACATGACGTTGACGATGGTCCAGCAATATTGCCTCCTGCATTCATGTCCAGAACGTTAGACTGAACATTCATTTCGACATTGATTACACGCAAAATAACCCTCGAAAAATGGTGGACACGGTTATACACATATTGTATCTATTTTCGTCCCACGCAAAAAAGAGCCTGGCTACCCATTTGGCAACACCAAATTTCACTGCATCCATTGTTCCGAAAACGCCCAAAACACATCGGCGCGAATAAGCGGGATTTCACAGAACAAACCTAATCATTCGTCATGTTCATTGGTGCCACAAACGTACCTGCAATGCCAAAGTTGAATCCCGTGAAAGTAGGGACTGAGCAGCTTTAACGTTGCGACATTCCATGGCTACATGAAACGCTGTATGGCCTAGGGAGTTTTTCACGCCACAGTCCAACACCGGACACTGTAGAAGAATCTCAACAATTCGGTTGTGGCCAGCACAAACAGCTAAGTGTACAGCTGTGTTTCCGTCGATGTCCTGTCGAAGAAAGAATAGACAAGTGTTGTGACGCAATCAAGCAGGTGAGATAAGTGGAAAACCTCAACGTAGACAACACCTCAAAGAAAAAAAGCATTTAGTCTAACAGAATTTCACATTAATACACCACTTATTATATATCCATACCAAAGGAAAACTGGAAGGAACGTTTTTTGCAAGGCGAGTCCAACATATCGACGGAATTTGGTAGTAGTCCAGTAGAATATAGGAAAAAAACAATACGAGTGATTTAGCGTTTTACCCCTGACCTGGGCCTCATTTCTTTAACTAAAAAAAGCGGAACGAACATGAAATCGGTCAGAGCATAGACGGAGAAAGGCGAATTTTCGGACGGATTCTCCATTGAGCTGTTTGCCAAGACGGAGTCAATGAAGCAGTGCAGAGCAATGAAAGGATTGCGAAGATATACGTTGCCAACCACTGTCAGGTACAGAATCGGATTTCGGCAAGGAGTACGGTTGCCGCAAATTACGTGGAAAGACTTATTCGAGGTTAATCCAACTTGGAGAAACGTGCAACATGACTTGTTCAACTCGATATTTTCAGCAGAATATCGTCATTAGATTATCTGTTCTATTCGTGAGGTTCATATATATCCTAGAAGGACTCGAGGGAAAATTCCCAAGGTTCCGGTCCTTTTCGGAACCGGACCTCCAGTTGAGTAATAGCTCGAACCTGGAAGTGGCTTGGGTACACCAAACGGTGTTGATTACTCAAGAGAACCGCTTCCAAACTCACCAATTCGAATAAAAACGGTCTCTAAACACGTGATTAAGCAGCTAACAGGAAAAAGTTGAACACAATCTTGGGCTCCATGATGCAGTCGATTAATGTTCTGGGGCGGAAGCAGGACGGCTGACAACCGAAACAAGCACCAAGTGCTTTCAGCTAATTGAATTCCATCTAGAAAATTAGATGATACAACGCATCATCTGTAGGGCTCTAGAAAATTAGATGATACAACGCATCATTTCGTTCTGACTCACCATAGCTGCAGCATCATCTGTAGGGTGCGTTGTACATAGACTACCATTACTTCAATGATGGGCTAAGAGGAACCAGCACCCTTAAAGAAGTAGGTTCATAATACAAAAATATGAAATCAATGAGTTTCCTTGTCGATAGTTGGTCCCAGAAGCCTAGCAGTCAACGCGTCCGCTTACTTTTTCCTGAAAAATCGTCCGGGTTGACCGATTTTAATGAATTCGTTACGCCGCCATCTCCAAAGTTTTTCCCTATTCAACTGCTAGCCATGGCATGAAAGTTGTGGCTGAGGAAATCAACTGAAGAGAACTAACGCTAACTGAAAAAAAATTGTATCCAACGTGAGGTGCACAATGGAGTCGCACGGGCATATAACGGTTGTTTTAGGAACTATGTTGAAAAACTGAGGGCGTATTCATAGTAGAAGGATGTGACCAGCAAGAATAGTGCTCGATACGTTCATATGGTACACTGAGTAGTGCTATAACAGTACTTAAAAGAACTACGGTTTTTATCACCGGTTCATGAAACCCAAGGGATGCTTATAACACGAAATTACGAAACACCACAAAAAATATCCACGCACCTGTCGATTTACATCAGCACGCCCACATCGTAACAAACATCGGACCGTTTCGAGCAATCCGTTAGCGGAAGCCATGTGCAAAGGATGCCAAGCTTTGAGAGGCTGTAGAGCGTCCAAAAAACCTAGGTTACCTGTATGGGTTTTGAACATTTGTGGATATCGAGGGGTGGCATTTACATCACAACCACTGAAAATGAAATCAGAAACACGGTACAGGGAGGGTAAGAAAGAAACCAACACACTGATTTGAAAAAAAAAACAACGACTGAGCGGGCGTGAAAGCGGAAGCCATGTGCAAAGGATGCCAAGCTTTGAGAGGCTGTAGAGCGTCCAAAAAACCTAGGTTACCTGTATGGGTTTTGAACATTTGTGGATATCGAGGGGTGGCATTTACATCACAACCACTGAAAATGAAATCAGAAACACGGTACAGGGAGGGTAAGAAAGAAACCAACACACTGATTTGAAAAAAAAAACAACGACTGAGTCGGGCGTGAATGATAATGAAACAGAATGGTACTACACAAATGTTACTCGATATGAATGGATCGATAAAGTCATGGAGTCGTTCGCACACCTTCATTCATGCCTTCAAAGGTGACTGAGGAAATTGCTGGTCCGCAACATCTTAACCGAGGCCAGAAATACAGTCATTAACTGTATAGTATCCGGTTAAACCAGACAACTAGTTGACTTTAAAGTAGCATTCGAGGTAATGTTTCGTTACAGCAATCGAACGGTTTGGTAATTGGTGAAAACATCTTCCGAAAATGTGGCAGCCGGCAGTGCACGCACAGACGACCATGGATTTAGTGGATCGTGTTTGGTACCTTTGTCACCCGTATACCGCATGTGATGCTAACTGCGGTCGTCATAATACCACACCACATAGTTTTGTCCCCCTAAGCATGTGACAGAAAGAGTGACTGAATTGTGTCTGGCTCTCAGATCCAACTAACGATGAAGATGATCATCTTAATCGGACCGTAAAGCAGATGCTGTCGGATATTTTTTATATTCGAGCAATGGTGAAGAAAATCAAAGGTGTATTGTTTTCAAGTACAAGGCCTCGCACGCGACTGGGAAGGTTTGCACCACTTTTAGGCAGGCTAAGCTATTGGATGTCTGCATGAAGCAGTGAAAACTTATGAGCATGCTGTAGAAATACCCTGTGTGGAACATTACACCTCTTAAAGGTGCTGAATGCTTGGTGCATGCAATGGCGGGTCAAAAAGAGCACCCTTTATAGAAGGATAAGTATAGGACAGAGCGGTGACTGTTGCGTAATGAGTGCTTCCGACTATAGCCATAGCTGCACCAGGTCCAAAGAGTACCATTTGCCTGAAACCATGAGGCTGTGGCTGATACCGATCTTTAGAAAGCGTTTCTTGCGCATCATCTATTACTTTAGTAGTTACAAGCCTAACCCGTCATAGGAAATAGAATGATGGCGTGGAAACAGACCGTTTGCTTGTTCTTGGAACCAACCGTGGAAAACAGCCCACTTGGATCAATAAAAAGTGGCACTTCAAACCATCGCATGTAACTCATATTTCACACCAAGTAGTAGTTCATGAAGCTGGGAGTGCAATACAATGTATCCAGCGAACCAATCCAATATCTTTAAGTTGGAACAAGTGACTATATTGCCACCATTATACCAAAAGCTCTGTTGTAATAGGCGATTATTCGGAAAACCCTAACGTGAAAAACTTCGTGGGGAGGAGGGGCTGAAACCATTCACCGAAAATGTCAACCAGTGGAAGTAGAAAAACAACTTCTGGGGATTCTGTAACCTCACTTTTTGATTAAAAATTCCGTGGCGCTTTCGAGTCTGCAATCGATAGCCCGATGCAACAGGGTGACCTGAACTGGAGTTCCAGCGAATTGTGTCCAGTAATCGACATCCGCGCCGTGTGAAACCTGTTGGTAGGAATAGGACTCACTGATAAACTACACACTAAGCATGCTTTTCAACGTAATAACGAGTTACACAAACTATCACATAGGCTTTGGCATGAAACGATTAACGAGCTATAAAGACATAGAATCAGCAAGCATTTAAAATTTCGCGTCCATATCCATCAACATGATCTTCATCACGAATGGCGTACGCACGAGTCAAGGTGCTTACTCAAAAAACGGGAATACATGCGTAATTAAGTCTTCAGCAACTGCTAGAGTAGTATGTCACATCTATTCTAAAGACGTACTTGAGACATCTTAAAGAGCGCATTAGTGGTGCGACGAAGCTCAGCATTATTGACAACACAACCACAGGATTGAGCACTGATGTTTCGTTGCCACACAACCGTGATTTACTAGGAAAGAAGATGAGTGGACGGAGAAGGGACACTGTGCCAGTCCACTACAGTAATTTCAAGATGATGGTATCTTTACACATCCAGACAATCATGATAGAAATTGACAACAAAAACACCACTGACATCAATTAGCAGCACCTTGCAAAGTAATTTCAAGATGATGGTATCTTTACACATCCAGACAATCATGATAGAAATTGACAACAAAAACACCACTGACATCAATTAGCAGCCACCTTGCAAAGAGAACACCCGTACCTTGGAAACGAGAACGACGTCATCTGCGTAATCCAGTTAAGTGAAGCTGGTTATAAAAAAGCCTCGAGATGAGAACGGCACAAACTGCGCGAGCAACACAGGTACCAGCCTCTAGAGCTTAATGCACCCTGGATCCTCATCCAGGTAAGTGGCTTTGAACACAAATTTACACAAAGTGACACTGACGGGTTCCACGCCGGTTTTATTAAGTGCGACCATGAGTAAAGACGGCTTTCAAAGAAGTCTGCTTGATAGTGTTCGAGTGGACATAATAAGTGTGGATTTCGTGCATGAAGCGGTTATTCGACGAGCCCCTAGATTCAGTTCGGCGTATTCCTGCGCCCCAGTATGTACGAGACCACTACATACGCAATGAAGAGGATATCCAAAACGCTAAGTGACTTAGACGCGCAAACAAAATATGATCTGGGATGGGAGTTTAAGAACTTTCTAGGTGTTACTTCGCGAAACCTGATCTACAAGATGAAAAACACCACTTTTGTCGTTTATTTTTGAAGAGCATGGTCATCAACACAAAAAGTAGATGCGAGTGACAGATGTGGAAGGGCTACAGGAGAATGTTACACAAAACGAGGGAAGCGTCCCATTCGAAGGCGTACCATCGACAGTTCTAGTAAAACACGAAACGCAACGTATATAAGAATGTAGGATATGGAAACACGCGAAACTGAAAAAATGACAAACAATACTGAATGCTCCTCAAGGTGCGGAGCGGAACGACGTAAACATAGGTGTTCAAAACTCCTTGAAGACGGTGTATGCAGGGCGAGGGAGAGGGTTCGTGAGTTCCATTGCAACCCGACTATGGCACGCACACCTAGCCTCATGCGTGACCTAGCAGGACTGCAGAATATGAACCCAACTTATCAGTTGGCCCCAGACTCCATGACAGATCGTCTGGCCACCAAAATTAATCTAGGTGTTTCTAACCCTCGTCCTAAATAGGTTGCATCAGAGCTGGCTACCGCAGATATCCGAGGAAACATTCGTTCTGAAAAGACAATCCATCGATTCGATAGAAGCAAAGCGACCAAAAGCAACCGTCAAAGCTGTTGTGTAGACTGTCACCACAAGCAGCCACTAACTCCTCTTTGGTGTTTACGCATGCACAATAAACTCGGATCGGAAGGCTGAGATCCCGAACAATCGTGCCAGATGCGGAATCATTGACAACATTGCGTAGTACTCGGTACTGGGTAAAAAGGAGTTTTTCCATACGCGCTCTACGCTGCATCGGGATCGTTGCACTCAGAGTTAGGATACTACGTTTCCAATGTTTCTACCGGCGTGCTCATCGAGGTAGCCTTCGGTAGAAGTAGCCAGCCACAAGTAGATTGTCTGATGTAATTGTCCAACCTTTTGAGCGTGTTTCGTGGACTTCGCAGAGCACGAGATAATATGCTAGCCTCAGTATCAGGTGGTCCCTCGTGATCTCCATTCAAAGGGACACGCGTCATCTCATCAAGCAGTCTAAGCAGCAGACTTCTCTCCCTTGAAAGTAAACGGGATGACCAAATATATCACGGTTTCTGTTGGACCCAGAAGATAACATGAGTTCCTCGGCGAAGCAAAATGGTTCGACCGCAGCTAATCCAAGCTCTCCTTTTAAGTGAGCCTGACTTGCTGCAGACACGACCCAGTCGTCAGCGAAGCCAAGACTATCCACTGAGGTGTCACTGAACCTCATCCATTGTCACGATGAACAATAGTGGGAAGAGTGGATCTCCATGTCTCACAACACTGCGGTAGTGTACCTCGGAAATGGGGAAAACGGCTACATCATTCGGATAGGACTGTAAAAAAATTGTTCAGTTTAGCACGCTTTCGGTGCCTAACTGCCATGCCACCAGAAGGAAGCAGGAGGGCTGGGATATTGTCAGGTTGCCCAAGCATAGACAGACGAAGTCAAGATGCAAAGATCCAGTTCGAAACACGACCTTCCGGACAGTAAATTCGCGCTCTAACCACTGAGCCATCTGGCCCATAGGACAGTGTGACGTATTGAACTAAAGGTAACGGTGCTCCACACGCCTCAACAGACCTGACAATTGTCATGCGAAACTGAATCAAACGCTTTCAAGATATCGGTAAACACCAAACTGAAGTTAGAAGCAGTTGCTGAAAAGTGACGAAGCAGGGCATGTAACAGTGATATGGCTTGCTGACAAACGTCTCGATGTAAAAATGCAAACTAGAGTGAGAGAATTTGCAATCCAAGGCTCCAGCGATCAGCAAGCACCTTATGAAAGCATCGGACAAGAATGGATGACACGGAGATCGATTCCAGTTGGTCCGGTGAAGTTAGATTTGGGAGATAATATGAGAACATTACAGATGCGTTGGACAACCCCCAGATAATAAGAGTAAGTTGAAATACCAAGTGACGTCGCTGGCATTGAGCCGGTGAAGCAGCCCTGGCGTGAGCCTGTCCAGATCTACGGACGAATTGCCCATTAAACAGATCATGCGGCCTACTTCTTTACCTGAAATTGGCTCGATCAAACTCCAATCGGATGGTGGCACTGCGCGAATTAGCCAGCTACTTACGAGCACTGAAGCGGGAAGCACCTGTTACCAATACTGCTCGGCGCCAGAAGTTACCCTTGTATACATTCTTCTACAACCCATCGAATACGGTAGACGCTGTCTTTCCGTCTTTGGAGGTATATGGTCTGGATGCCAGCGTAGTGGCTCGGCGGAACTGCTTTCCGTCGGCCGGCACACGATAGGCTAGCTGACAGGGAGACAAAATTCCGCGTGTGTGGAAATGTCTTGGAAATCGAAACCAAACAGGGTGACTGGCGCTATCTGGGATCGCTGAGCTCATATCTCAACCAGATCGACCGGCTACCTATTTGGCACCAGAGGAGGTGGTTCAGCGCATCAACGGTGATAGTACTGAGTACATCACACAAACCAGTCGACAATACTAGTATATGCTTAGACTTTGTCCTCCACTGGAATTGCCATTCGGGCTACTGCCATTTATTTCAATTAACAACGTAATAAGGTTGAAAATGGTACACTTGTTTAATCATCTCAGATTAAACGGAGCACACAGAGGGAAGCACTCAACACAGAAAAACAAACATGGTACAAAGACAGAAGAACACGCTGAAACTAATAAGCGGGATTCCCTCTTCACTTCTCGTTCTCTCAGCAATGAGATTTGGAGAGTCTTATTGAACGAAATGCAACGGTTGCTGGCCACGGTACGGTGGTTACGTAACTAGCTGACATATCCAGCTTCGCTGGGAGGAATCAAAAACAGGCTCATGACCAGCCAGCTAATGGATGGATACAAAAATGATAAATTGTTCCTCAAAAAGTCATTCTTGTGGAATAATACAGGTCTTATCCGCTGCGATCAGGTTTGTTTCCCTATTCCTCAGACTAGTTCATCACCCTTCCGTGACTGCTTAAGTTTCAAGACTGAACCGTTCTATTTTATACAAAGCCGACTCTACCACAACCATTTCTATAGACGATTTGTTTACATTTATCCATGGACTTGTTGAAATTTTGTTCCACTTTGAACTGAACAATTTTCCCGCTTAATTTGTCCGATAGCACGCTGCCCTTCGTGTGCCATCCTGTGTTGCTAACTGCCCAAGGTTCAATCTAGCCGTAAGCCTTTCTTTAACTCTCCTCATGATTTACTGTTAATTTCCTGTAGAACCACGGTCTACCTATCTGTACTGTCTGCCCAAGTCCAATTCAATATATTGTTCACTGCCCAATTGCGACTACTGAACAAACGCAGGTGAAGTTCTTAGAATTCGGTTTCGCCGCAATTACTACTGACCGTCCGTTGGTGAATTAGACTACACGTTACTTGTCAGATAGGACACCTAGATCGTGCGTTTAGGCTAAGTAACCTATTCCTTGCTTTGAGATCACGGCCTTAGCACAGGATCGTACAATACAGGTCTTATCCGCTAATTGCGATCAGGCTTTCGAACCAGACATAAACTGAGCCTAGACCGCCTTTCTGTCTCGTTTGGGCATTAAGCGTGAAACAGTAGCGTTATACTTGTTTCGGGTCAGCTGGAGGAATTTGTAGAAACTGGTGCACTACATACAACAAATACAGGCACCTGTCGAATCTTACCAAAAGTTGAGCAATATTCGGCTGATTTCTCAGCAGCGAAGACCATAAAGGACAGACTATAGAATCGGCGAGACTGAGGTTGATGGAGAGTAATTGACGCTCAACATCCAAATTCGAAGTCGGAGGTGTTCCAGATGAGCCAAAGCTGAAAGCAAAAGGGTATTGGGTTGGGGTGAGTCAATTGAACTGGACAGGGTAACACACCATTACCAGTTAGCCTTGTTTACAAAATAATAAGGGTGAAACGGGTCGGTAATTGACCAGTGAATCAGTAGGCACAGAAATACCCTAAACGAAATAGTTATAAAGGTGTCAGTGTATATTTATTTCAAGACAATACTTTAGCCTGTTCTGAGATATGCATAGACCTGAAACGGAGCTACAACTGATGCCTGATGTACTGCACTCGCGGCTGTTGGTTTCGAAAATAACTAGGTAATCACGCTGACACTACGACAACGCTCTCATTTCTTAACGAGTTACTGCCAGTAACATGTTACTGTTCGACCTACGGCAATTAGTTCGGATGCGCTAGGATTTCGAGCCCAACAATTTCCTCGTCGGTATTACCTAGGTCATCAAAAACCGAGGGTAAAAGGGGAATGAGAAGTAACAGTACTTACGGGTAGTGAGAACGCAAATACAGAAGAGTTCAGATTGCTCCACAGAACACAAGCAAATGATACTGAAAATACATAGAGTTTAGACGCATGCGATTTCGTGATCATTTCCAGGAAGAAAATCATCGCAAATCACCATATGCAGGAAGGTGAAAGCAGTCAGTTGATCTATGGGCGCTGCCGCAGCTACCGTTGAGTTGATCAAAATCAACCAGACATACACAGACAGTCACACAAGCAAGGTAGAATCTGCTCACAGAGGCAGCTGACGGTACCTGAAATACTCGTACGACAATCCTCTTACTCAACGACCACCGGTTGTATGTTCAAATTAAATATAGAAAACACGTAGGTGAGGACATGGGTGTATTGTGCACATGCGTCCAAACCGGTCCGCCCTGCAACGGGCAACCAGACAACTGAGTTACATGTCAGCTAGCCCACAAACAGTTCTCTGATATTTAGAAGATTAGAGACGCACATCCAATCAGCCAATAGGGGCTCCTTGGCCGCACAATGCTCTTAGCTGCAAAACTTTTTATACCAAAATATTGCATTTTGTTGTGCATATCCTCGTGAAAAAAACCACCCTAATCTACATTCATATTTTCGCAGCTCACTTAATCTCATTGTCCACCCATGTAATCATACCTCTGGCGGAAAAATTCTGATGAAATACTCTGCTAACATCGCTTGGACCCTGGGATGCCTGAATGGGGCTCAAAAGTTTGGACTGGCACTCCGAACTTCATTGCCTGTCTATTTTAGTCCATCAGGGACATGTCGAAAATTTACTTCCATTGTGCTAATACTAAGGGCCGTCACACACCAGTTCGGTGATGGATTGACGAACACGTGCAAACTCTCTGACGCTCAGGCTACTACACCTACTGAGAATTCTTGTGTAGTCCCACTGCATGACTACCGTCTAGCACCACTAAATTCTTTCGATTATCAAAGGTGTTATTATTGAGAAAAATTGGGTCAAATAAGTAATCGGGACAAAATAGATTAGCCAGTCTTATCCGATATTTCACGCCCTCGACCCGCAATAGATAGACCAATGCCTACAGGTTACAGACAGAGGAGAACCAAAACTGACAATTACAGCGGCACAGCACAAGGTTTTTACGGCTTGGTTTCCGACTCAACCCCCAAAACGGCGAGGCCGATATGAAACGGCGCTGGTTCCCATAACCGCAACTCAGGAAATATATTATGTATCTTGTACCAACCTGATGTTCGCATCAACACGATGACGAAGAAGAAAGCGAACTGCTTCAAGCTGATCTCGCTCCACGGCCCGCTGTAGCAGCGACAGACCCGTTCCGCAGTCGAACTGCATCACCGTGTTGTTCGTTGATCCGTTAGGCAATGGTTGGACAGCATGCTGTTGATATTGGCGGGAGGCAGCAATAAGAATACGGCTAGCTAGATCGAATTGTGCAGTCCATAGGGCCAAGCTGAAAACTGAATCCCCCGTCTCGTCCTGCAGCAGCCAATCCGGTTCACAGTTAGCTGCAAAACAGAGAAACGACAGTCAGCTAGTGGGGGAGGGTGTCGAAATGTTGTTAAGCGGAACCAGCTTCAAACACTAGCAGCCGAATTTCGGGGAATGTTCGCGCTACGTGACTTCTCCAGACCATGACACCACGCATATATATATATATATATATATATATATATATATATTAGGCAAAACATTCTGAGTCAAACAAAGTATTGATTCCAGGCTATCGTGTGGTGTTCAGTGCCCAGTAAATGGACTAAAATGGCAGCTTTCCTACTGTTCAAACAACAAAGCTGAATGCAAAGTAGCAAGCAAAGCGATCTAAATTAGATGTTGATCAGCTGGCAGTTAACTCTTCCGCCGAAATTAGCAAACATTTCATCACTATGCCAGGACGCGGCGGGGGACACATCCAACTACGTACTAACGACATCTCCGCGCGTTAGACTGCACGTATGCAAATCAGCTGCCAAGTTCGGTGAATAAACAACGTGCCACCTGATCAACAGCCAATAAACTCACCTAAACTGCCAGTAGTTAGATATATTTCCAAACGGATAGAGGTACAATAATTAGGTCTGAGGGGACGACCTGCCCTCCATTTTAATCTGACTAGTATGTTCCCGTTGTACTCAGAGTCAAGAATAAACTGGATGTCAGTGCGATCTGGATTGGAACAGTTTAATAGATCAGGTGGATTGGCATTCTCGGTGGTAAATACGAATATACCGTCTACATAGCACTCGTACAGTGTAAACTACCCAAACTGTGCGACTAGCTGTTGAATTTCAGACTTACTCATGAATAAATCAGCCATAAGGGGATTCAAAGTAACTTTGTTTGTATTGATGAACTAGACCTCAACCTAAAATTGATGTGCAGAGTAGTGTCCAGGATGCAAATACCAATAGATTTGCTGCTGTGCTCAATAGATGCACAAGAGTTTATCGTTTTGGGTTAGTACCTGGTCAACAACGACAAAAAGTTCAGAAAGAACATGCGATGATTGCCAACCTTAACGAACTGGAAGTTACTATTCAAATATGGCGTTCATATTTCACCTCTAGTTGGATCTAGCAGGCCAGTTAGCTACTCGGTCAACGCATGATAAGAAGAATTGAACATGACAAGTATAGGTCTGACCAATCTTGGGAGGCCAAACAGTCGAATGAACTCAGAAGTGCTAGTACAGATGAGCCCTAAGTGCTTATAAGCCGTCGTGATACTGTGGATACTGTTTTGTTTCAAGATCTCTCAGCTCCCTTCTTATCATATCCCGTCCGTATGCTCGTGTTGGTCATGGTATGTTGGTCGTACAAGGTATTTGAGAGACGAAACGATAACACAATCTGGCGCCCCTGGCTGGCGGTCGGGAGAAATCTATCTCAAGCGCAGTTGCGCCACATACAGCTGGAACCGATCATGTCATAAACAAAGAGCGTACCTTATAAGTCCTACAACAACTGCCTCTGAAATTAACAAGACCGTTGCGATTCAGATCATAATCGATTGCAGAAGCGATTGGAATGCGGGTGTGTGAGCTAAAACTCAGCGCTGAGAAGAAACGTGCATGACCTTTGAATTTGAGTTGGCTTACGAGAGATTCCCCCACACAATCCTATTTCACTATGGCATAATTCATTTGACTCCGTGAACCACTCTGTTCAGCCACCCCTCTCTTTTTCAAACCCGTGCATGTCATATAAAATTGTGGTGTATTGACCAGAAGAACTATTCAGAAAAAGGAAGCTGTGTTCACGAATTCGATCATATCATGAAAAACTATAGAAGGCGGCTAAAGAAGGAGGAAGTAGAAATCCATAAAAACGGATTATGAGGACTTGAGGAACCCATGGATAGTAGCTCATATCTAAACTAACTGTTCAGCTGTAACACCCTTTCGGTGCCTAGTTGCCACGTCACACGAGGAAAGCACGAGGGCTGGGATACTGCCAGGTTGCCCAACCCTAGACAGCGGGAGTCGAGGGGCAGAGGTCAGGTCGAACCACGGATATTCCGGTGCGTAAATTCGCGCTCTAACCACTTGAGCCATCTCAGATTTTTGACAAGGTATAAATGAATGAGGGGTGTTACGGAAAATTTGTGTTATTGATTTGGTTAGCCTTCCGGATGGGGTGCGTGGATGATGTGAAGGCCACTCAACGTCAATAGAGCTTATGCTGTCAGTTTCTATTCAGATTATCTGATCGAAGCATAGACATCTCGGATGTTTGTGATAGGTTAGCCTAAAGTCCGCCTTCCAGTCCCATTTTTCTTCTTTAAACTATATGACTTTACTCAAAAAAGTTGATGTGTTCGTACGGCAGTAACACACCAGTGTCCTTATTTGTTTATAATGGTGATTTTCAGTCGAAAATCCTGCATTCAAAAAATGTTGCACTTTGAAAATGCAACTGGAAGGCGTAGCTTCACCAAGACAGTGATGACCGCTGATACTTACTCGACCAGCTCCAACGGCTTCGTGTTTTACTAACGGACCAAAAAGGACACATCAGTGGATTGTGTAGATCCACCAATCGTTTTAGTGTCCTCTTTTTTGTAGACCAGTGTTCCTTCTCCCTTGAAATACACCTCACAACAACTGCCTTTCATTCCTTCGTGTACAGCCGTTGGGCATATAGGAGTTTAATAATTGGGCAGCTTACTTCACAGGAGTTTCGTAGAAATCGTGGAACCACACACACATAGACAAAAAAGAAGGTTGTAAAAAGGAAATTACAAGGATGCTTCGCATCCGAATGTAACTGGGGGTGCGCAACTTCAATTACTCGAAATTAAGAACGCTTTCGCTGGAATAACTGGTTTAACAAACAGCCATACAACACGAACATTTATATTCATGCCGTGTAGTATTTTCAAAGATACCAAGATTGAAAACCCAATCCCAAAACTAGGCCAAATGACCCACAATCGTTGAAAGAACTAACCCTTTTGATCGAGGTAGAGTTCAATAAGTTGGGTCATTCCACGGGCCATGGCTAGATGCAAAGGCGTTCGCTTTTCCGTCTGTCGACAGGGTGCTTCCGCTTGCTGGACAGGAGTAGCTTTTTCTAAACTGACCTCAGAAACACTCAGATTCTGACCCTCACCGTCAGGATCTAGGCGTTCAGACAAAGATTCCGCATCAAACGGTGTGACAAACTGATCTTCGTTGACCGGTCGTGTTGGATGTTGAAGGAACTCTTCATCATCAGGGAAAAGATCAAATGGTTCTAGCTTTTTCGTCTCCGCAAACGGAGGAGGTGGGCTGGGTTGCTGTGGACAGGAAGGCTGAAATGCAGTCGAACAGTAATAGAACGTCTTGATTACTAAGCTCAAGAAAGAACGGGAAGTTATTCTCGTAAGCTAACTTTTCGATCACAAGTCCAGTGGGCTTCAGCCAACGTGGACTGAAATGCTAAGTTCGTCAATTCCCACCTCACGGGGACCATATTTTTTACTATGGGTTAATCGACATGGCAAAGACGGCTATTTCAGCAACCAGATTAAATCCAATGAGAAACCAGAAATATCAGCACTTTGGTAAACGGAAGCGTTGAACGGCTAGTAATCATACAGACCTTCGAAAGTCAGAATGTTTGCCCCTCGTGGAAGGGGCATGGTTGGTCCACACATTATTGGGTCTGTTCTCAAGGATGAACCAACGCCAAAAGTAATACAACTGTTTAGGGACGATCTGATGGTAAGACATGGCTAGTACGCTGCCGTTTGAACATGTTTTGAGCATGTTAAAAAGCGCTGACGGACTAAACATACATAAACTTCATGAAGTCGACATGGTTCAACTTGAAGAACCACAGCGTATACTTACGGTGAAAACATTTATCTGAATCCTTCACCCATACATGATTCCTGCGGTCTTGGTAGTCGAAAATGGATGTTCATATCACTCGTTAGAATGATAATATCCGCAGATTTTACTTGTCGAATCAGTTATAATAGATCTTAGTTGCAGAACTGCAAACCTATCAGGACGTATGCTGAAAGGACAAACAAAAACCGTCTGCATTCGTCTTTCTCGAACTAACACAAAGGATAACTGGTTATTGAAATCCAATTCAACGAGGCACTTTCGACCACGGATCTGAACGCAACTCCCATCCTAGGGACACAAAGAACCATGCTATAAGGTTTGAGGGGCACCACCGAAATGGCATCTTGTATGCGTGTTTCAAGAAGACAAGCAAAGTCCCATCACGAGATGTCTGCTGTCTAGTTTGACAAGGGTACTGAAACTGGACGCTATATGTGGTAGCTTCATCAAATGGAAGATCCCGGTTGCCCAGACCAAGGACGTAGGTTAATATACACAGGTCACCTTAAGCCTCTAAATAAAAAGTCATACTCAAACGGTGGTGAGGGAGTGTATAGTTCTGTCTCGAGACCCTGACCACAGCTTTTGTCACAAACGCTTGACCCACCACGCAGCAAACAGGATTTACCTGGAGCTAATGACCCGACATACTGGTCAATTCCAAGGACGGAGGAAGGCATAAGCGTCTCTCTTCTGGAGTTACAGTGCAAAACAAATGAGTTTGGAGCCGCACCGGACTCTTGACTAAGTTTCACTTGTAACCTGACCATACAGGATAATTTGCCGGCGGCTAAGGTCAAGTGTCGAGCAATAAGAGTGAGCGCCCCCTAAGGATAGATCTTTTCTAACTCCGCCGCCCTCAAAAAAGCAGCATCGCTGCTGCTATAAATATGAACACACTGGTCACTTGCAGGAAACACCTTGTGCCATCATACTCCTGTCAACTTTAGCTTCAGACCATCTTGTATTACCATTAGTCATAGCACAAATGTGCTGATTTTCACCTGAGTGTACTCAGATGACCGACCTCATATGCTTAAACATCGCTGGAAGAACTTCAATTCAGTGGATTTTGCAGGAGCGCCGCAATAATGAAGCCCAACTATCACGCCATAGTGCCATGTTTTGGTCAGTATGCAAGGCATCGCTAAAAGTAGGGTTACTGAAAGTGTATTTGCTGTACAACGAAGCACAGCAGCTGAACCTTCGTTTGAAGTTCATACGAGTGAACCTTTGGGCTCTTCCAACGTTACACGGAGCAGGCATTTCGACAAAATATATTAAGGGGAAATCTATTTTGACCAATTAAATTAACGCGAAGGACTACAGAAAGCTGAGTAGCTTAATTGAGTTTAGTCATGACAACTGGACTCCCGTGTTACAGCGCTAAGTAAACAATCGTAATTACAATCCGTTGCTTATAAAGCGACCAAAAGGCGTCACTGAGCACACGTCCTCAACATGGGCGGTTGGCAAGATGAGGTTCAGTAGCAGTGCTAACGACGGCGACTCCTTCTTCGAAAGGGACGAGCCTATTAGTAATAGTGGAAATAAGAACCGGAAAAAAAGCCATTTCGAGGCGGCAACATTCTCGCCAACAAGTTCGACGTACTTTGGTGGGGAACGATTTGCACCGAACTTCCTTCATCCGCAGCCGATTGGGGTCAGCTTGATATGAAGTTGCTAGACTATGGCAGAGAGAGGTCAGTTTGGACTCGATGGCTACGTGAAACACTGTCTCACCGGGAACCGTCGCCGATTCAGCATTTACTAAACAGGCAGGTTGTTGCAAAAGAAATAAAGCGGCTGCATCAAGACCACAGCGCGCACAGGCGATCAATAAAGTGTCACCGGCTTCTGGTAGATTCGTATCAGGCATCGCATCAACTCGATTCGAAGATTCTTTCACGCTTTTGGCAAACCGATAGTTGACGTCTGCTCCCGCAAGCACAAGAGTTTTGGAAAACGAACATGATTGTGGGCTAGAACAAGAACCTGAAGAAGAGCATAGGTAGATAAAATAACTTTAAAATCTAGGTTTTTGCGACTGATTTTGATTGGGGCGTGATATTTTCGAGAAGACTAGAATCTGGAAGCTGAAAAATAGGAAGTGACATACACTATAGTTTACCTATAGGTAAAACTCGCGAAAACATTGTCGTATACCAAGTAATTCGCACTGCATTATGGTGTCACGTCAACCGATGAATTGCGATCCGCAGTGTATTCGAAATGACGTTTTAGGTTAACGTTCTAACAAGTTAGATACAATTTGTTCCCAGATTTATTGCCTCCTCATGAGCTCGAGATAGCTAAGTGGTTAAGGCGCAAAAAGACCGACCGGAATTTCCGTGGTTTGAACCTAACCTCAGCATCCCTACCGCTTCTGTCTAGGCTTGTGGATCGTTGCATTATTTCGGCCTCCCTTGTTCCTTCTGGTAGCATTGCAGCTATCTACTGAGGGGCCGATGCAGCCAAACAGCCTATAATTTTCGCATTTTCTTCCTAATGACTATACTTCAATATAACGACCAGACAGATGTAAATTTCCATTATCAAAAGCCAAGCAGATGAATCATAAGAGGTTCCCTATTAGTGTTTTTCTTGAAGTCAAGCAGGTGAGTGTGTGTACCTGACACAAGGAGGTTCGGATCTATAAACCTTGGCGAGGTGAGTGAGTAACATACTATCGCCTGTTACAGTGTTTTCTGGCTTCTCTAGCGACGACTCCCAAAAAAACCCAGTAACATTTGGGAAAGTTATTTGGTAGTCGTCCACTTTCCAGGGACAACGGGGAGAGATCGATTCAGTGATAACCTCTAGGTCGATTGGAAAAATCTTTATTTCAAAGCTGAAAAGCTATCTTGAGGGGACGGAGCCATCAGATACTGTCCATGTTTACTCACAATTTTTCGCCCAGAATAAAGATCTACAGGTTCTAGGTTGGTTCCATTACAAATGACGGCAATCTGACGTCGGACTGGATCCATTGAGAACAAGATGAAGCGCGAAATTCAGTGGTCCATGGTTCAAGCTGGGCCTCCAGCCTCATCGACAAAACTTCTAGCCTCGATAACAACAAGCACCTAATACTCACGTACCTTGTGATAGGTTTAATCAAAAAGCCGAGAAAACCGACGCTGAACCCATGAAAGCAAAAACAACACAGCTAGCTCAGTCGACACTTTTCAACCTCAATGTTCAAAACATCCGATCCCAAAGGAAATCTGCACCATAAGATCCTTCAGTTGTTGTTACACCAACGCTCAAGGACCCTACAGCAATGATACTCAATAACTCCAACACCACCAACAAACCCCGCGAAACCCATTACAATAGAGGAAAGCTGGCTCAAACCGGGTATTCATGACGCCGAGCCGTCCCATCCAGGTTTACCGATAATCAGGTTATAAACATGGAGTGGCCCTTGCATGCGATCTCATTGCCATCCGAATTCTTTTGATTGAAGAAGTGCCGGTCTGCAGCGCTTTACTCGATACTAAAATTTATCCACCACCCCCTCAATGATCTCTACAGCTTAGACAAGAGCAACCTCACCACTGCTTGAGAAGAGGTCCGTCTCAGTCACTCCCTATTCTAACCATTGTGGAATTTAACATCCCATCCCTCATCGAAAGTCTCTCCGGTGACACTGCCTTCAAATGGGCCTTGCTCGACCTCATGGACTGCGTCAGTTTACGCCAGGCAGTAAGCTGAATATGCCGTTCAAACATGCGGTCCAAGAGTCAAACGTAATCAGATGCTGGAACTTGGATAATGCGGCATCAAGTGGATAGTCCGACGGCTTCAAAACATTGCATACAACGAGCGCCTAGGATTTTTCCAACTCTAATTCGCACCAAGGGACCAAGAGATGACCGCCTACCAAATAACGACGAGTCAGCATCATCCTCGTTGCAAAACGCCCAGCCTTGGTATCACTACCAACCTCAGCTGCCATGAACAGAGGACCTCCTTCCAGCATTATGGCAGCTATTTTACTGCCTACGCGTCCGTCACGCATTGAACCTCCTACGCGCATGCGCCGTAGATTCGCTTACTAATTGTCTGAAAGCTTTTCAAGTTTTTCGAAGAGTTTTCAGCAACCTCGTGAGTAGTTTCCTTTATGAAAATAACACATTAAGTCTACACCGATAGCTCGCGATAAAGCACTGCGATATAGCTATCATTTCCATACAGGTATGGAATTTCAAGTTGTACATTCCGTGTGTGATATGCCCTGAATATACTGCGATAATATTTTGGCACTGAAGCTTGTGATTAGGTGAGTGCCGGTGTGTCCATGTACACAAGTATCGGAATGTAGCTGGCATTGATCACGCAAAGCTATGCACCACGGGAGGCTGATGAAAGATGGTGATCATGTTAATTGTGTGCAACAACCGACTAGAGGGTCTGACCTCGAATCAAATCTGCGCAAACTAATGCCTGTGTAGTTTTTCCGACGAATTTTCAGCTTAACAACGTCCACAGACCTACTTCACAGTTAAGAACGCAACAGCAATGTGCTCCTTCCTGTTACGAGCACTGCTATCGATTTCGGTTCCAGGCATTTACAGCAACCTGCTCCGAAACGAAAAGATATCATCTATTTAGTGAAACGTTTTAAGTACCCAGTGGTCTTGTTAAAATTTCTTATCCGGCTGCAATGGAATCGGTCGAAATCACGTTCTTGTGACGTTCCTCTAAAACATTCTGAAGGTTTGATGTTACAACATTGTGCAGGTATCCCCTGAGACAGCGGCGTGAGAAGAGTAGAAAACCATATCTTTGCACATTTAGATTTTTGTTGTTGTCGTTTTTTTGTGATATAGATTTCTTTGAAACCGGGAACAAGTTCGATCGGTACGGTAGGTATACGCTGAAGACCGCGGGTATCACTGGATTTGTTACAAATAGCTGATTGCCGGCACTCCTAACATTCAGCTCGATAGCAAAATGGCTGACTAGAAGGTTCGTGGTTCGAAACCAACCTTTGCATCTCGACCTCGTCGGGGCTTGCGTAACTCGGCAGTATCCCTGACCTCGTGCTTCCTTCAGGTCGCATGGCAGCTAGGCAGAGCTGCAGGATTATCGCTTTTAATCCTAATACAAGTGGATACAAATTTTGGACCATTATGTGGCTCTCCAGCTACCAATTCATAGTAACGAGGAGCAATGAATGGAAGCGACAGTATGGTCCGATTCTATAGGACTTAGGTCCACCAGTCGCTTGACAGACGAACCTGCCCATTCATTCATCATCCACATACCAGTCGAGTTCCTACTGTGTGCCAGGGGTAAGGGGTACCTAACCTGTCGCAAGAAAGCTATAAAAGCAGTACATCCGGAATTTTATATCGCTTCTCATTCAAACTTATCAAAATGTACAACAAGGAGATCCATTCTCATTCTGCTCCTATTCCTCTAATTTTAAAATCTTCAAAAGTCTATTCAATATGTCGTTTAACAAAGCAACAAGGGAACGATGGAAACTTACGTGAAAATCCAATTGCATCGAGTAACGTCCTCTGATCGAATCCAAAGTCAGCAACCAACGCCAGCCATATTAACGGGAAACCCATGTTGTTTGCAGCATTCAAATCAGCCTCTTTCACGTGTTCCATTAGCAAACCAAACATAGAGGTATTGAAGTGAAGTAAAGCAACATGCACTGGAGTGCTGTAGAGGACCAATGTGAAAAGAGACAGTAATCTGCAATAAGTTTCGCCAATGTCTCATAGATTCTACAAGGACAGTCGTGCAGTTCGTA